GAGAGAGAGAGAGAGAGAGAGAGAGAGAGAGAGAGAGAGAGAGAGGAACCAATACTTAGAGAGCCTTTTATGGTTGGGTAGATACTGAGATATTATAAAAAGGATGAAGAAATCAGTTATCAACTTGCCAGAACACATCAGTGCCCCTTTTATGGCCAAAGATCCCGAAGGCTGGCAGAGTGGATTTGCTTTTGAAGTTAGACCTTGGATCAACTATGAGAAGTGTATAATTTAGAGAAGTATGTAGTCTGCACACATGAAAAGATGGCATCTAAAGCAAGCCATTGGCATAAGGAAAGGCTGTTAACTTAAGTCTTGAGGGCAAACAGACTTGAGTTCAATTTCCAGTTCCACTTTCTATAACATAAGCAAATGTGTAGGCACTATGATGCCAAAACCTAGAAATACTGTATATCAAAGGTGTTAATAATATCATCCTTGACAAGGATTAAGATGTTGACAGTCTGTCCCTCTGGTAGAAACTTGAGCTGAGTTCTTCTGATGGCTCAGCTTGACTTTGACCTCTATGCTCTTGTTCAATCAGATTTGAGCAACAATCTTACCCAATCAGTTTACTGACTCTCTGCCACCCATGACCACCTTGGTCTACCTTCCTTATTTACCTTACCAATCAGTTTAACTGGAAACTCTTTAACTTTGATATTTTCATTTAGTTATTTTCCATTTACTGACACCAGGCCACATCATTGATTACAAACATCCACTTGCCCATTTCATTTTGATATTGGCACTCAAGTCAAACTATTTTGTTTATTACAAAACCCCCACATAGTTATTCCTTTACCTACATTTATATCTTGTTCTAAATAAAGTCAGCCTTGCCACGTCTAGCAAACATTATGACTAATTTTCTTTCACTCTTTCCTTCAAAATGATATAACTTTTGCCAGTGGTATTGTTTTTTAATGTTATTTTAAATTAATTGTATCTTTGATTTTCATTGTTATTCTTACCTTAAAAATGAGGGAAATTGAGGATTTGGAGGTTAAGTGATTTTTCAGGGATTAAGGAAGCATTACCAGAAACTGCAAAACATGTGTAGTTATGTGCAACCATGGCTCCCCGAACACGCTGTCCACAGAGAGCAACTGTTCAGAAGTTCCACTGTGCTGAAAAGTTGTAAAGAAAATAGTGTGACCCAGGCCAGCTGGCCTTGGTGAGTTCCCGATAGAACATCCCCATTGTCTCAGTGTGTGGGTGCACCCCTCGCGGTCCTGAGTTCCTTGCTTGTGCTCTCTCTCCTTCTGCTCCTGATTTGGACCTTGAGATTTCAGTCCGGTGCTCCAATGTGGGTCTCTGTCTCTGTCTCTGTCTCCTTTCATCGCCTGATGAAGGTTAATATTCAGGAGGATGCCTATATGTTT